TGTTTCGAATAGAGAAGTTAGGGTTTATTGCTTAATTCATATTCATAATTGTTTTATGGGAATAACATTGCATAACATATTAAAACTAGAAGTAATAGAATAGAGATTCTAGGATTAATTTGTGGTCCATCTAATTCATAACCGAATAGGGCGAATTAGTCCTAAGGGATTGATGAATTTATGCTTCTTAATTTCAGAGTAACTGAATAGGGATCTGTATTAAGTTGAATATTATGCCTGAATAAGGATAATTGGCATTAGAAGAATCCTAACAATTCATAGCACAAACAGGTATTAAGAGTAGTTGTCAAGCATAATTAGGGGGAAATCTGTACCCTAACTTTATTAATATTGCAAAGTTCTTCACATTATTTATTTGTTTAATTTAGTTATTTTTAATCCGTTACTTTTACACTCTAAAATTTTGTTTTCTCAAATAACGTATAGGTAGTTTCAGGTAATTACAAATAATTGCTTTGATCTCTGTGAGAAGATACTCAACTCATCACTTTATTACTTGAACACGACTAGTGCACTTGCTAGAGTTGATTTAGTTGCATCAAAGGGAGAGCTCACTATTTCTTTCGTCGCATTGTTCTAGCGGGCTCTTAGATTGTCGAGCATTTTTTGTACCCGATCTAAGTCTTTGTTGTGATTATTCTGGCTAGCTCTGTTTAGCCTTACCTCTAACAGGTGAGTTCATAAATCTGTTGCTTGTGAGCCTCCTCCATTATGTGCATTGATGCACGAAGTTGAGTCATGATAGATAGGCTAATAGGTGTTACCATGCTCGTCAGTGCGTTGCTTGCAACATTGGTTTTAACTGGAATGTCAGTCATTGCTAGATTGGCTCACATGACTCATCTCGTGAGCTTGTGAGGACCGAGCTTGTCTTGGGCGTGGGTTACAATCGGCACGCTGACGTAGAGGATATTGCCAAGCAATTCGAACATCTTATGGGTGACCATTACCTTCGCTCTCCCCCATTGGTTGTTTTCTTGGTTGTATCCTAAGGTTAGTTTACCCGCAAGACTCACGCTCATGAGCAAAGTGTGCTTTGTGACATCAGAGATGCCGATCACCCCTTGGTGCTGATGAGCCAAACTAGTCGCCGATCGAATTTCAACCTATTAGGGTGATATCGATAAAGTGTGGCTGGTCAAGGTTCTGTGTGGTTAGTTGCTGATTTCTTATCTCAGCCATGTTCTGTTGCACCGCTTGTGCAACATTGTTCTGATCATTTCCACCACTTGACCGTTCTCGGGGTTTTATGTCCCTACTCCCTGGTTATTTGTGGTCTGTTGAATTGGTGACACTAGTGGTTGACACCCAAATGTCATCTTGTTGTACCTCTTAGTGGGTGGTCTCCACATTGTCGCGCTTTCCGGTGGTCTCCACATTGTTTTGCTTTCTGGTTGTGGTTTTTGATCTTCTATGCACCATTGTGGGCCCAGAGTGATCAGGTCTTTGGGATTTCTTATCGAAATTTCTGGGATTTTGGTAGAGGTCCTCCTCCTAGCGCCAAAATGTTGATGCAAGAATTACACTAACTAGAGTGATTTGATCAACCTTGATGGGATCACAACTGATGTGTGTGTGATTACAGATAACCAACAATGAGTAAATAATAAGTACAGTAAAGTAAATGGCAAAGGGATTTTTAAAGTGGTTCGGCGAGTTGAACTCTTAAGCCTACGTCCACTGTTCTTGTATTCGCCATGAGAGCTTACAATGACAGTCCTAGAAATATTTGCTAACCGCTTTCTCGTCATTGGAGGGGGTTTATATATAAAATTTGTACAAAGGAAAGAGCAAAAAAAAGGGATTACATTTAAGTTTGAAATGCAACTTCGATATTCTCGCAATTAGGTGTTGTGATTGCGTAAAGATTGTTGTCGATCTGATCCTTCTCGAGATAGTCGGGATCTGAAGTAATCTGTGAATTGGTTGGACAACTATAAGGATTGGTCGCAACTAGCTTGTGCTAGGTCGAGCTATAAGTTGATGAGCTTGTGCTGGGTCAAACAATCGATAGAGTCGAGCTAGTTCTGGATTGGGCTATAACCTCACAATACTCCAAGCTTAGTGAAAAAATCACACACAACAGTTATCATTAGGGGATGTCGGTAGGATAGGGTATTGGTTTTGTCAACATAACTCCTCCAATGTTAAATCAAATACTAAGATAAAAATAGAAGAAAAATTGGGATTTTGCATATGATTTGGAGTTTACATCTACAAAATCCCTTAGGAATTTATATATTCGTTGCCCCCTAAACACTAGAAGGATTTTTAGAGCTATATTGTTGTGATCTTTGCAGCATAAAGGTGCTTGAGATGATGGCTAATGCCAAATGTCAAAGTGGTGGAGAGGGCACTAGCCTATAATTTAGATAGTGAGAAGTTAACTTAGAATAGAAGACGAGTATGGAAATTATATCTCTTTTAGTGTCGCTTGCCTTACCAGCTGCTCCGTATATTAACATAGTTAGGCCTCCTCATTCCCTCATGCAAACTTCTTGAGTTTACGTTTTAGGTGGCTCAAAGCTTTAGTATGTTCATTTGCTTTGTTTTATTAATTTTGGACATTTTATTACAATATTTTAAACCTATTTATCATGGTCTTTCTCGTTAGGGTTCATCAAACTGGGTTAGACTAAATTTTCGTCGAACAAAAGTATTAAAGGAAGTGATTTTTCAGCCCAACTTTTATCTCTTCAGTAAAACCCACCGCCCCCGCGTGACCCGCACGGCCCCCCGCCCCCACCAATTTTAATATATATATATATATATATTAACAATGGTTCTTATATATATTAAAACATTTCAGGAAGAATTTATAAAAATGTTAATTATTTTGCTCAAGATATGAAATCTTTTAATATCCTTTATTTATATTAAATCTTCAATTTTATCAACACTAAAAAGGAAAAAAAAAAAAAAAGAGTAAAAATAAACAATGTAGTTCGTTGTAGTTTTCCAAAATATAAAACTTAAAAAGAAAAGAAAAAGAACCAGAAGAAGAAGAAGAAAAAGAAGAAAGAAAGAAAGAAACTAATAAAGAATTGAAAAAAAAAAATTTATCAAATTTACTTGCATTTGCTTTAGGTTTCGAAATATATGTGATCTAAAAATTAGTCCTTTTACAAAGGAAAATAATTTTGATAATTACAATGAAATTTAATTTACTTATGAAATCATGAATTCTCATTAACCTAATTAAATTTTTTTTTTTTTTTTAAGTTAAAGGTAATTTATAAAGAATGAAAGAATGAGACCCCAAGAAAGATCCCTTATAAAGTCAAGATCCTTGGACAAGCCTAAGCGATAAAGCAAAAAGAATAAAAAAAAAAGACGCACAGATTTACAATCATCAAAGCAAGCAACCTAGCCTCTAAGAAGTCTATACTATATGACCAGAAATAAAAAAAAAAAAAAAAAAAAAAAAAAAAAAAAAAAAAAAAAAAAAAAAAAGGCCAACTGGACAAACAAAAACAGCAGCTACACAGTTTGTACATGACAGACCAGCCTACAAATCAGTCTTCATAAGTTAAACACAATGAGCCAAGCACCAAAAATAGAAAGCCCAGCACAACCAGAGTCAAAAACACCACATCCAATAGCCCTAGCCTAAGTAGACGAAAGTGCCAATGGCAGATCCAGGAATTTCATTCGATGGGGGCAAAAAATAAACAAAAAAAAATTTTAACCAATCATAACCATACTTTTTTTCATTAGGATGAGCTTCAACAAAAAGTTACAAAATACAAATACATATCTTCAAAAAACACATTTTTTCTACAATTGTCCTCGACGAGTTTTTATATTCTGAAAACATCGGATAATCATCTCATCGTCGGTTGTATCAAATACATCTTTCTCAATAGAGGTGACCAAACAATCATTCATCTATTGATCTCCCATTCGATTGCGTAACCGACTTTTCACAAGATTCATTGCAAAAAAAGCCCTTTCAACAGTCGCAGTCGCAACTGGTAAAACCCATGCAAGTTTCACAAGCTTACACACCAGTGGATACAAAATGTCTTTTTTAAGCCAAACTAAATTCTTAGCCAAATCACCAATTCCTTGTAATTTAGCAAATTCATCCCAAGAATGCATGTCAATAACATAAGTCTCAGCCTAGTTCTCAAGTACCATCAACTCAAATGTAGAAAAATCATATGGATAAAACTAGGCAAAATAGATCAACTTATGCTTGTCAAAAGCAGAAAATGAATTACTTGGATCTAAATATGCCATACAAAGAAGCAGCTCAGTACTAACCTTAGTGAAATGAGTGTTAAGTTCTTGAAGTTGCATATCTATCACAGTATAAAACAATTCAACTCGATAGTGATGCAAATTTGTCATGTGCTCAACTCTCCGTTGTGGCTACCCTCGAATTGCAAACATATCATCCATATTCAGAATGGTAATATCATGCTTTTGGCAAAATGAAGAAACTTAACTCAACAAAGATTCCCATCCTTCATCTCTCAACAATTGTAACCGTTGTTTGAAAACTTTGACTAGAGCCATAGCATTTGCAATGTCTTGATCTTTTCTCTGCAATGCTTGCGATAGCTCATTAGTAATTGCCAATATACTTTTCATCATATGTAAGTTAAATCAAAAATCAAAGGAATATATTAAATCTAATAGATTACATGCTGCACCCCTTTATTCAGGATTTAAACCATCTTCTTCAATAACCTTTAGCACATCGCCCACAGAGGATAACAAAAGGATTAAGTTGATCAATGTATAATAATACGAGCCCTAACATGTGTCACCATCTCGTTTTAGACTTGTCTCTTGATTCAAACCTTGTCCCTTACTAACTTCACCAATTTCTAGTGCTTCAACAAGTTTATTAACTTGGATGTCCCGAAGCATGTCTCGACGCTTGCACGAACCTCCAACAACATTTATCAAATTAGTAACCAAGCTAAAAAACTAGGCAACAGAAATGTGATTTTTTGTAACAGCTACTAGTGTCAATTGAAGTGGTGAGCAAAACAATGAACATAATAAGCATATTCATTCTCCTTTAAAATCAAACTTTTCAGACCATTAAATTCTCCTTGCATATTACTTGCCCCATCATAACCTTGTCTACATAATCTTGACAAACTCAATCCATGCTTACAAAATAATGACTCAAGAGCCATCTTAATTGATACTACAGTTGTGTCACTAACATGTACAATGGCAAGAAATAGCTCAAGTACATGACCTTTTTTATCTACATAACGTATGGCAATAGCCATTTGTTCTTTAATTGACACATCATGAGACTCATCAATCAAAACTGAAAATATGTCAACTCCAAGATCACTAATTATAGCTTTTGTGGTTTCATTGGCCGCAGCATTCACAATATCTTTCTGAATCACTGGTGCTATCAATTTAAGATTCCCAGGTGCATTCTTCAAAATAACACTCTTGAAATGTTCATTATGCTGAGCTAGAAAATGAAGAAGTCCGAGAAGGTTACCTTGGTTCTTCGAGTCTTCAGTTTCATCATGACCACGAAATGCTAACCTTGACGCAAAAGAAATCTAATGCAAACAATGGATGCAATCACTTCCGAAGTGCCAAAGAATCCTTATGCAGATCCCAGTGAACCAAAGTGTAAGGTTTAACAGGAGTCCCCACAAGTCTAAACTTGCCACAAAGCAACCATATGTATTGAAGAGGCTACGGGCTAGTCTGTCAAAGATGCCTTGGCAGACCGTTCCTAGAACCAACACAGTCTCTGCCTAGGGGTGAATCCAGCCCTTTTGAGGGTAGGCCTGATAAATTTGAGAATAGGTCTGGGTATATATATTAATAGCTCATTTTGGTAGGCCTATATATGAGTAATTTTTTTTTTTTTTAAAATAAAAAAATTACTAATATATAGGCCTACCAAAATGAGCTATTAATATATATACCTAGACCTATCTCAAATTTATTGAAAATAAAAACTATTACACATATATCCAAGCCCACAAAAAACCTTTTATTAGTATATATATTCCAAACCCATATTATAAGTTTAAAACTCTCTCCACTCTTCTTCTCCATGGCTCCGCTTCTTTTTTATGATTTTATCCGTAAAATTTTTTACTCTCTCATCCTCTCTTTCTCTTTCTCATGATATTCGCTCTTAAAAATTTTGAAGACTAAAATTGTTAAAGCTTTCACTACTTAATGTGCCACACTTAGCTCTATTTTCTGTTTTATCAGTTTTAGGTATATGTATTGCTTATTTCAATTTAGTTTATTTTAGGGTTGAATCATACTTGTTTTTTGGAGGTTTTTTATTCTAATTTGAGGGATAAAGACATGGATCTTGTGAGTTTATTTTGTGTTTTGGGTCTAAAAATGTTCCTACTTTCCCAAATTAAAACCTTAACTATATTTTAAAGGACGTTATTCTTCACCCTTCACCCACCACTTTCCTACATTTCAAACGTCACCGTTCAGCTACTCAAAATTATTAAAGAAATTTGATTCATTATCTATGTTTATACCAAGAAAATTCCCCCTTTATTTTTATTAATTCATATTAAAAGTCAATGCAACATTGACTTGATTTAAGTTTTGGTTGACACTTACTCAAAAATTTGCTTCTCATAGAATTATTCGAGCAGGAAATAGTAGGAAAGTACTATGTTATTGCATTCTTTTCTTTTAGGTTCTTGATATTGTACTATTTTCTTTGCTTAAGGTTTGGTTTTAAAGTTTTCACTAATTGTTTGGCAACAATGGTGGAACCGCAGAGGCCTCCCTCGGCAAAAATCCTAGGTCCGCCATTGTCCCTACCCACCAAACACAACACAATCAAAGGCAAAAGCAAAAAACCATGCACCAGTATCCCAAACGAAATACCACACCACCTGCCAATCTCCTGCACCATGACCAACACCTAGAGAAAAAACAAGACAGCCAGTAGCAAACACCTAAGAGATTATCCACATAAGACAATCACCTCAAAATACCAGTCATCTTCCACATGTTGTCACTGAGAAGGGAAAGGATGCAGTCCTCCACTATACTCAAATTAGGATTGCATAACATCAACACAACTGCCTCCAAGACTCTTTTGAAAAAAACGTAGGACCTGTAAGGCCAGCAACGAAAGACCTATAATATATATATTATAAACTTTCATCCAAATCATGGGCCTAAACTTCTTCTCTTTGCCCAACACCTGCCCCCTGGTAACCCAATAAGAGCCACTAGTAACTACCCCTCATCATTCACTCCCTCTCAAAACCTCCACTCCATAGGATCAAAAAACTCAAGCATCATCTCTTATGCAACTCCGAGGCAGATTCCAAGCCCTCACAACTTGCCAAACTCTATAACTATCCTTGAGGGTCTGGCTGCTTAGCCTAAGCCGAACAGTTTCAAATATCATCCTCTCTACTTTACTTCAGCTCCTCCACTAATGCTTGAATAGCCTAATATTTTGCTCTTGCCAAATAGCATAAACCAGAGCCCGAAACAATAACCGTCTAATAACCGTAAGAATACTCTTGCCTTTGAAACTATGAGCACACCAAGAAATAAGAGTGTCCCAATCACCAACTGGGACTCTAAATTACCCTTAACTTGAACAGCATGCCAGAGTGCTTTAGAAAAAGGGTATTACAAATATAAAGCTTTAAAATAAAAGTATGGAGGAAGAAGAATAATTTATTTTATTACGCTTACATCCTCACTTAAAATAGAAGATGCTGGCTGAAAATCACATCCCAAGTATTAATATCTTTGAAACAATATAGGTTAGTCCACGAAAAAATGATTATAAGATACAGGGCCTCAACCCGTGAATATTTTTGCTTACTTGTTCCCTATTTTACATATGTACATTAGTGATACATTGTTAAATTTACGTTCTTTTGTTTTAATGTAATCTAATTACGGTGACATTATTACTGTTGTTTAAAGTATGCAAGTTGATCCTTATGATGCCAATTTTTTTTTTTTTTTTATAAATTATTATGAATATTGTTATTGTTATTATTTTAAAATTTTGATTATAATAAATTTTATTGAAATGTTAATTAAAAATGAATAAACAAAATTTCTTCTTTGAACTTATGTGGTTTTTTGTTAACTTAAGAAGTTATGTGTGCATATTATTTTCTGATGTTTGTACATTAAGTTGTTTAAGGCACAATCATGTTTGTAGTTTACACATGTCGTAACATATTGCATACATGTGTGCATATTTCCTTTGTCTGAACATAATGCAAATATGTGTGCACATATTACTTAGTTGTGTAAACATTTTCTTAATCAGATCTCTTAGTATAGGTGTCATGTTTCCATTACTTGTTAGACTATTTTCCATTTCTGAAATTTGGGTGCATGAAAGGTCCATTTATAGATGTCTGATTTTTCAGAACTGATCCAGAAAAGTTGTTTATGCTTTTTCAAAAGTGGTCCAACAAAGTTGTTGGAATCTTTCCTAAGCAAAGATTATGTAATATCTTTTCTTCTTTGCATTTTCTTTGAACATGATGTTTCAATTATTATGCTCTCTGAATTTTTTTATAGAGTTTATTTACTTAGGTTCCCTTTGTTTGTTCTTTAACATTCTCTTATCTTGTTTGAGTGTTTTTGTTGGAACATGGTTCCTTTGTTGAAAGCTTGAATGTAGTTCAAGCTGTGGAGCTGAAAGTAGATTTTGGCCATTGAAGCTTGAGTGGAGCTCGAGCTCTCCAGGTGGTTTCTTGGACTTAGAATGTTGGAGTAATCAGAAGGTGGAGTTAGAATCTTGTAGAACAGGGAGTTGTTTACCATTGTTGTACTTAATTTCGACTTCTTATTGACTTGGAACGTGTTTACTATAGTGGGTTTGCTTCATCTGAACATGGTCCCCATTGCATGTTGGAAATGCAGATTTATTTAGTTATTTGGGGGTGAAACTGTAAGGAATTTAAGGTTTAATGCATGATTTATGATGTGAATTCTTGCATGTTTTGTTGTCTTCCTGAATCACAGGTTGTGTGTGTTTTTCAGGTATTCAGGTGTAAAAGAATGGATTATTCGTGTTTGTGTTGGTGTTCAAACATCCTGAACTCATTTGAGTGCGGATAAATCAAGGCCAGAATTAAAAGTTTGGAATTCTAACTTTGCGCCACAGCGTAAACTCGCCGCTGTGTAATTAAACTGAGCCACAGTGGAAATGCGTCGGGGAGCAATTAAAACGAGCTGGGGCACAATTAAACTAAGCCATGATACAACTAAACCTTGTTGCGGCGCAAATCACACAGAATGTAAAAATGTTGCATTTCCAACCCTAATTTCGACTACCCGTAATTACAAGTTTGCCATTTTGTCTAAAAACTATATAAAGGCAGCTTTAGTCCGTTTTGTCTACCAGTAGTACTGACCACTAGAGATGAGAAAGAAAGGTCGGCACCTCTGATAGTGCAGAGTCATCTTGAGCCTATTTATGGGTTACCTAGTCAACATCAGCCGTCAGAATTTAGAGGTACGACTGACCTACTAGTGGCAGAAGAATGGATTAGATATGTGGAGCGCACGACAACACTTTTTCCCATGACAGATTGGGAGAAGATCCGGTATGCTAGTTTTTTGTTTAAGAGTGATGCCCGAATATGGTAGGAGCTGATGGAGGATACTCATGATGTAGCCACTATGACCTGGGGAGATTTCATACGACTTTTTAAGGCAGAATTTAGGACAGTTCATAGGATGCATGAAAAGATACAGAAATTTATTAGCCTATGACAAGGAATCGGTTCAGTGAAAGAATACTCCATTAGATTTAATTTCTTAGCGAGGTTTGCACCTGGTATAGTGAGCACACCAGAATTAAGGATGAACAAGTTCATGCATGGGCTGAATCCAGAAATAGCTTGGATGTGATGGCAGGTGCCCAACCCCCTCAGACTTATAGTGAGGCTTTGGAGCGAGCTTTACGAGCTAAAGTATTTGTAAATAAGTTAACTCCATTGACTCCATCAGCAGCAATGCCCAGTATTCCACCTCCCGCTCCACAGGGGGATAAATTTGATACCGCCAACAATAGAGAAGGGAAGAATAAGAAAAGATTTCAGTCAAAGAAGAACAGGAGGGATGGGAAGAATAAACAACCGAGGACTTTTGAGTTTCCCCAATGTCAGAAATGTGGGAAACATCATCCGAGAGAGTGTCTAAGGGTGTGTGTTTTAGATGCCGACAACCTGGACATATGATGAAAGACCGTAAGGCCCCTCATACACCTACAGCATAGACATCCAGAGGTACTAATGCTCAGCTATTTACAGTTGCATAGTGTGAAGCTGAGGCTAACCCATCTGCAATTACTGGTAAGTTATTATTTCATTCAGTTCCCCTTTATGCATTAGTTGATTCTAGAGCCACACACTCATTCATTACACATGGGATTATAGAGAGATTAGGTTTGAAACCTATTACAATAGATCAGCCTATTAAGATAGAATTGCCATGCGGTGATAGTGTGGTAACTAAGGAGATGATTTCAAGGGAGTCCTTAGTGATCCATGGAAGGATGTTAACAGTGGATTTGATTGTATTTGATATGCCTGACTTTGATGTTATATTAGGCATGGATTTCTTAGGGAGATATGGAGTAGAGATTGATTGTCGAAAGAAGAAAACAAAATTTAATCTTGATGACGGTGATAAGTTTAGTTTCGGAGAGGGCCATCAATTTAGTATGTTAATTAGCAATGTAAAAGCCAGAAAAATGTTAAGAAAAGGGTACTTCAAGTATATTGCCCATGTGGTGCAAAATAGTGATGTCCCTTGATCAGAGATCCAGAATATGCCAGTAGTCCGAGAGTTTCTAGATGTATTTCCGGATGATTTGCCAGGTTTACCTCTAGAAAGAGAAATGGAATTTCGCATTGAGTTGACACCAAGGACAACACCGATTTCTAAAGCCCCTTATCGTATGGCCCTAACCGAGTCCGGGAATTGAAGAAGTAGCTTCAAGAACTTCTAGACAAGGGTTTTATTTAACCCAACCATTCTCCCTGGGGTGCTCAGATTCTATTTGTGAAAAAGAAAGACGGGTCGCTACGGATGTGCATAGATTACAGAGAGTTGAATAAAATGACAGTGAAGAATAAGTACATGTTACCTCGCATAGATGATTTATTTGATCAACTTAAAGGAGCAATAGTGTTTTCAAAGATTGATCTGAGGTTGGTTTATCATCAAGTAAGAGTTGCAGAACAAGATATAGCCAAGACTACATTTCAGACCATATATGGGCATTATGAGTTTGTAGTGATGCCTTTCAGGTTAACCAATGCCCCAACAGTCTTTATGGATTTAATGAACCGGGTGTTTAATGACTATCTTGATCGATTTATAGTGGTGTTTATTGATGACATCCTAGTTTATTCTAAGACAAGAGAAGAGCATCTAAGATTTGTGCTATAGCGATTGAGAGATAAAAAGTTGTATGCCAAATTTTCTAAATGTGAGTTCTGGCTGGATCAAGTTATTTTCTTGGGCCACACTATCTCAAGAGAAGGTGTATCAGTAGATCCCAGTAAGGTAAAGGCAATCCTAGAGTGGCAAAGGCTAAAGACAGTGAAAGAGGTTAGAAGTTTCTTGGGGCTTATAGGTTATTACAAGCGGTTTGTAGCAGGATTTGCTCAGTTGGCTAAGCCGCTTACAGCTCTTACCAAACAGGGAACTCCTTTCATATGGTCAGATGCGCGTGAAGAGAGTTTCCAAGAGTTAAAAGGAAGACTCACCACAGCTCCTATTCTAGTGTTACCACAAGAAGGTGTAGACTATGATATTTATACAGATGCCTCACTTCAGGGACCTGGTGCTATGTTGATGCAGTTGGGTAAAGTAATAGCTTATGCTTCTCGACAGTTGAAAGAGTATGAGACAAGATACCCTACGCATGATTTAGAGTTAGCAGCTGTAGTTTTTGCATTAAAGATATGGAGGCATTATTTGTATGGGGCAAAGAGTAATATTTATACTGATCA